CCCTGGAAGTTTGTGAGTTGTAGCCCTATCACATTTACTCCTTTGTATACTAAAACCACCAATTAGTCAGGTGGGGCAGGAAGTCTGATACAAAGCAATCAGTGATTGTATCTGGAATTCTCATTAGTTTAAGAACACTAAAATGAAACACCACAAGATCTTTAGTTACTTTCAGCTAATAGATAGCAAAACCTGCAGCCACACCTAAGAGTCTCATCCCACACACACACACACTCATCAAAACTCCTTATATCAGCTTCTTGTCTTCGTCATGAGCAGAACTGTATTGAAAACAAAGAATGCAGTTGTAAAAACTGCATGGGGAATAGGATCCATTATTTAAATATGATAATTCTTTGTGTACCTTGTCATTCCAGTTCAGAATAAACTTTTTCTGTTTTCCAATTAATGATAACACCATTAATCAAATAGATTAATATTAATATTAATCAAATAGATTAAACATCTGTAGGCATTTTTGTAACAAGATTGGAAGATTCTAGGAACAATGAGATGAACTTCCAAGTAAAATCTACATATTAAATGCCTCTCCAAATAGGATTATTTAAGATTGATTATTTATACACACCTCATGCAACCAGAATCACTTTTATATAGCCAGTGTGATATTATTTTTAATTTAGATAAGTCTGTAAATACCTGCTTGCATATAAGTAAATATCTTTTTCATCCATCCAGAAAGTATGTATGAAGTTTATAGACATATTGTTTAAATCCATTATTTATTTTGTTTTTACTAAACCTGTTCTGACAGAATGGAAATTAAACAGGAAACACTAACAATGCTTATCAAATTATCTATAATTTTCCCATTATGAGGAAATCGGTTCTTGTTTCTAGAAAGGCACTGTGATACACAATTATATTATTTTTTTTAAAAGGTTGTATACAATAAGCCAAATGTCAAATCATTGAGCCAAAAGGAACCTTCGTACAATTGTATATATTCCCTTTCGTGCTGCGACTTGATTAAAGTACTTGGGAAAATTCTAAATCCAGACCATGATACTGATAATCTACTGATCGGACGAGTAAAAAGCTGCCCCGCTGACACGATGGACAGGAATCCTGAACAAACTCGTGAAGCGCTAGCTATTGCTGAACTACAACTCCCAGCATCCATCACACTAGGCAAAGCTGGCTAGGGCTACTGGGGTAAAGAGTTCATGAATATAACCTCAGGTGTCCCACTTCTACCCAAAATAAGATTTTTCTTCGCACTGTAATAGTCCATTTCTATACGGATTCCTTTCCTCCGTCTCTTGGGCTGAGGATCTCTTTTTCGGAGTGGCGGTTCCCCCACGGAGCTTATTCCCTGTAACACCAGAATTCTGCTTTCTGGGAAGCGGCGGCGTGTATTAGGGAAGGTTAGTGATCTGAGCGCGTTTCGCCCGTAATTCCTCTCTTCCCTCTTGTGTTGCCAGCACTTTGTTGCTAGACGCTGGGCAGCTTAGATTTTATTTCTTCTTTTCGGCATTACTGAGGATTCCTAGTTTGAGCCTTAGTTGCCTTTTCGTACTTGATTTCTCCTGTTTGTCCGTGGTATTAATTTTGCAGGACCGCTTAGCAGTTCACTTAATGATTGTTTATGGTGGGAGGTTGAAAAGAATTTGACCTGGCGGCCCCGCAGGGAACTAAGTTTATTATCTTTCCTTTTGAATTTGCTTCCTGTAGAGAAGTCGCGTGTGTATCTGACCAGGTTGGCAGGAAGGGATACTCCGTATGGGCCCAGGGGAATAGTTGAAGATTAACTATGGTCCCCAAATTAGGCTTTGGTACCGGTGAAGGAAAAAAGAGGATTTAGTACTTTTCTGTATTGGGGCGTGTGTGCGTGTGTTTATGTCCCTACATTGTTTTGTGCTTTTTGTTGTTAAAACTTAATGATCATAGTTACAGAAATGTGATTATGAAGCTTTAGGACTGAGAACTGCTGGAAGATGATAGAGTGCATGGAGCCCTGAAATAGTGTGCATTATAACATAAAGTCTTTGGTAGAGGTCTTTTGCTTTGGGAGTTAAGTTCTAATTACTTATTTTAGAAAGTAACATTGAATTCTAAGATTTACTTATAAGTAATCATGAGTATATTTGTACTAGGTAAATGTGTGGGCAGATCATCTGGAGATCTTTGCTCTGCAGACTGTTTGCAGAACAAATTGCATGAAACAGTGTGTGAAGACCTGAAGTTCTGATGAATGTTTTGTGTGATGACCTAAAGACTGAATGAAACTTTGCTTGGAATCCATTTGAGAATGTGTTATCAGGTTGTGATATATTGTAATAGGATGTTTTATCAAGTTGTCATATGCTGTAATAAGGTTGGACATTTCTTGAAAATTTGGCTACATTTTCTCTTTGTCTAGATCCATACTTGGAAGCTTCAATGACACAGTGGAACTTACTTAAAAATAAAAGCAGATAGGATAACTTCATAATTTGAAGTCTGTCTTGTCATTTGCTCAGGAATTCTTTATTCTTTTCTTTCTCTTTCTATTTAAAGATAATTAGAGTTGATGGTACAAAAATTGGTTTCTTCAAGCATATCCTGAGGCTGTTAATGCAAATCTTTTCCCTTGCAGTTCAGTGTGGGAGGATTTGACAGTTAAATGTCTGCGTGTGGTGTGCACAGAATTCTAATCACCGTTGGCAAGAAATTCTAATTTTGAATTTTATTATCCAACTGACTGTTGGTCTAATCCATATACAGCACTGATTATTTCTGAATTGACTGTGCTTTGAGAGTCTGTTCATAAATGTATGTTTATAAATATCAAGGGGGAAGGGAGGTGGTGGTGGAAATAACATCTATCTAGGCAATGATTTTGTTCTAAAACAGGATATACACAAAAATGATATTTATATTTGCTTCCTAGTAAGGTAAGATTGTTCATCATTCACTGAGCTGTTTGAATATAGAGATCTAACATTTATAAAAATGTGAGTTTCTGAACTGATGTGTTGCTGAAGTTTACAAAGGAAGAAAGAAGGGGATAGGTAATAGGAGCTAACTTCTATCAACATTTTGTTTGCTGTTTAGTTATTAAAACATAAATTGCATTTTACCTTGTATGAAGTAGATATTTATAAATATGAAAATTTTAATGGGAAGGAAGAAGTTGACAACTTTGAAATAATGGGCATATTACATATTGATTTTCTTGGCAATTCTATAAGTAGATTTTAGAGGGAGATTATTGACTTGGCTGCTGTTTCTGTTAAACAAGCACTAGATTGCTTCTAGTTAAGCATGTACATACTTATATGTTGTTTACAGTTTCATCATATAAACAACATCTAAGTATTTACATGCTTAACTAGAAGCAATCCTAGTTGACCTCTGGAACTGCCTCCTAAAAACACATGTTTAGGATTATATTCTAATGTTCCCAAAACTAGGTCATGTGAATAAACTACTTCAGGGGCAAAAGAAAGTACATCATCCAGAAATTCTCAAACTATTTGTCAGAATCCTTGCAAGATTTTATAATAGATTATTAGATGGCTAGTTTTAAAAAGAGAAAAAATGGTTTTTTACATGCTGCGGTTCTGCCATTGTAAAGGGGGTGGGGAAGTAGGGATGAGAAACCGTTAAAAAGCAGATGGCTCCTTATCACAAGCTCTGGCAT